GGGGCTTGATAAAAGCACCAAGACGAAGCCTGCCACCTCCCTGAACCCCCCACTAGCCAGCAAGGTCCATTCACCCCTGCTGAGCCCCACTCTCCCCCTGCACCCCACTCTGCCCCTGAGCCCCAACCCTCCCGTGCCCCCATACCTGGCTGCCCCTCTTCACTGACCTTCGTCACAGGAAGAGCAGCAGAGGCCCATGCCGCAGGGGTGAGGGGAGCAGAGCTGGACAGGAGCCGAGGACTGGGGAGGAGGGTTGGTGGTCGGCCGTGTGAAGGCGGCATCACCTGACTGCGGGGTGTCTGCCTGGACGCCCCCCTGGTGGCACCACGGACAGCTGAGCCGGCCAGCGGTGGGCATGGCATTGAGTGGTGCCCCAGGGACAGTCCCGCTCTGGCCCTCTCCACCACCAGGCACAGGCCCAGCGGACTCGGGCGGATCCTAACACAGCCAGGAGCCCCGGCAGTGATCAGTGGGCTCCGGGGCCGTGCCCACTGGGCTCACTTGCACCCATGAGTGGCAGGGAGCCGGGAAGGTGGCCCCAGCCGCTCCCACACCGCGCCCCAGCCTGTTCTGCGGCCCATCCTGGGCAGGGGGCGCTGGCCGGCTGTCCCACGCGGCTCCAGTCTGTCGGTGCCCGCCCGGTCCTTACACTGTCCCCCTTGTCTAAGGCCGAATGAGGGGCGCAGGGGGTGCCACCGCTGAGTTGGCCTCGTGCAGGTCCTGTGAGCGAGGCAGCACGCTAACCCACCCAGGGAGCTGGGGTCCGCGGAAGAGCACGTGCTTGCACGTGGCTGGGGTCCGTGCAGGCACCCCGGAGTCCATGTAGGTGCCCTGGGGTCCGTGCAGGTACCCTAGGGTCCCCAGCACCAGACCGCGAGGGCCCAGCCCCCGGCACTGAAGGCAGATTCTCCGAGCACCGCCTCCAACACCAACAAAACCTTCCAAGAAGCAAGATTCTGGCTCAGTGCCACACACCCCAAAGGCCTCGCTACACCCCACGCAGGGTGCTGGCGCCCCAGGGCACCGCTTGGGCGAGGGGGGGAGGGGCCGGCAGCGCATTTCCCTGAATTCTGATGCCCTCTGGTGGCTGCTCAGTGAACTGCAGCTCACCCTGGAAGGCGCTGGCTGGACAGGCCTCAGCATCCCATTAAAGTCTTGAGGGGGGCTGGAGTGATAGCACAGCGGGTAGGGCGCTTGCCTTGCACGAGGCCGACCTGGGTTGGCCAACCTGGATTCTATTCCCAGCATCCCATATTGTTCCCAAGCACCGCCAGGAGTAATTCCTGAGTGCAGAACCAGGAGTAACCCCTGAGCATCGCCGGGTGTGACCCAAAAAGAAAAAAAAAAAGTCTTGAGGGCTGGCAGCAGGGAGGGCGCTCGCCTCACACACGGCTGGCCTGGGTTTGACTCCCAGAACCCCATAGATCCCCCTGAGCACTGTCAGGAGTGATCCCTGAGCTCAGAGCCAGGAGGAAGCCCCGAGCATTGCCCGGTGTGACCCAAACACAACACCAAAAACCACACACACAGGAGCTGGAATGACAGCACAGCGGGGAGGGCATTCGCCTTGCACACGGCCGACCAGGTTCGATTCCCAGCATCCCATATGGTCCCTCTAGCACCATCAGTAGTAATTCCTGAGTGCAAAGCCAGGAGGAACCCCTGTGCATCCCCAGGTGTGACCCCAAAAGCCAAAATAAATAAATAAAAATTACACACAGAGAAAGTTTTGTGCCCCTGGGGGCAGGGTCCTGGGACACTAGGGGTGTGAGCACGGGGTGGGGGGGCTGCCAGGGCCATTATGCAGGAACCCGCATTCACACAACTGAAACCACAGTTCAGGAAGAAATTGGACTGGGGATTCGAACATGTGATGGTAAAAGGTGGATTCAGACGCACCCACTGGGCCCAACCAGGACATGAAGCTTCAGGCTGAGAGGCACAGAGAGGCCGGCTGACCGCTGGCCCCGCTACTTGGGTGAGTGAAGAGTATGGGGTTGGGGGAGCACAGGTGTGCCCACAGGGAGGCTTGCTCTGCAACCATGGGGCTGAGGGGCCATGAAGAGACCCCCGGCCTGCAGGCCCCAGGGCCTGCCCTGCTGAGCTGACCCCCTTGGAGGATCTGCCCAGATGATGACCCCGGGGTTCCTCAGTCTGAAGAGAAGCGTCTGTGGTGTGTGCTTTCCCGCCCATCCGTGCACCCACCCACAGCTCTGCGGGTGCAGAGCTGGCCTGGGTTGGATGCCTCGGTCCACACAGGGGCCCCTGAGCCCCGCCAGGATGGACCCCTGAGCACAGAGCTGGGGTAAGTCCTGAGCACAGACAGGTGTGGCCTGAAACCTAAAACCAAAACAAATGACTTATTTTTTAAAAATTTTTATTAGTGAGACACCATGAGGTACAGTTGTAGACTTACAAATTTTTGTGCTTGGGTTTCAGTTATACAATGATCAAGTACCCATCCCTCCACCAGTGCCCATTCTCCACCACCACGGGTCCCAGTATCCCTCCCACCCCCCATCCCCCATCCCACCCCACCCCTGTGGCAGGGCATTCCCTTTTGTTCTCTCTCTCCTTTTGGGTGCTGTGGTTTGCAAAAGAGGCATTGAGTGGCAATCATGTTCGGCCCACAGTCCACTCTCAGCACAGTCCCATCCTGGGAGGACCCTCCCAATACCCTTTATTTGGTGCTCTCTTCTCTATCTGAGCTCCCTTTTCCCCTAGCGTGTGTGGCTGGCCTCCAAGCCATGGAGCAAAATTCCTGGTGCTAATCTCGGCCACTCTTGGGTGTTAGTCTCCTATTTTGTTACTTTATGTTCCCCAGATGAATGCACTCTTTCTGTGTCATTACCGCTCTTTCTGACTCATTTCGCTTAGCAGGATACTTTCCATGTAGTACCACTTGTATGTAAATTTCATGACTTCCTCTTCTCTAACAGCTACATAGTACTCCATTGTGTAAATGTAACAGAGTTTCTTTAACCAGTCATCTGTTCTGGGCACTCAGGTATTTTCCAGATTCTGGCTATTGTAGAGTGCTGCAATGAACAGACAATTGCAGATGTCACTTCGACTATACTTTTTTCCCTCTCTGGGATATATTCCCAGGAGTGGTATTGCTGGGTCAAATGGGAGCTCAATTTCTAATTTTTTGAGGATCGTCCATACTGTTTTCCAAAAGGGCTGAACCAGTCGGCATTCCCACCAGCAGTGAAGGAGGGTCCCTTTCTCACCACATAGGCGCCAGCACCGATTGCTTTGTTCTTTTGGATGTGGGCCAGTCTCTGTGGTGTGAAATGATATCTCATTGTTGCCAAAACAAATGACTTTTTTAAAAAAATTTTTTAAATTGCAAAATCTCTTACCTCTCACTGGCCTTGCTCCAGACCCAGCTGACCAGCCGTGTCCCGGCTGTCCTCTGGCCTCACTGCGCGTCCCTCAATGAGGCCGTTTGCACATGTTCTTTATGCCAGGGTCTTGTAATGGGGCTGCTTTAGGAAATCAAACTTTTAAAATTTTTTTTTGCTCTTTGGTCCACACCTGGTGATGCTCAGGGGTTCCTCCTGGCTCTGTACTCAGGTATTACTCCTGATGGTGCTCGGGGAACCGTATGGGATGCCGGGGATCGAACCCAGTCAGCCGCGTCCAAGGCAAGTGCCCTCCCCACTGGACTATCGCTGAATCGCTGAGGCCGCTTGGACCTCTTTAAAGAGCCTTCCTTTGAGAACAGCCGTTTGGATCTGTGCTCACTCACTTCACACTCCTGGGGTCTCTCTGCTCTCACTTTATTCAGTCCCTGGGACCACCAAAGTCAGGACAGATGAAGATCCCGCCCTTTGCCCTGAGTCGGCAGCTGAACGATCAGTGACGTGAGGCGTGCGGGTGCGTTGGAGGGAAAAGGTCGCTTGGGTGCTTCTCCCACCAACTCATGTCTCCCGTCTTCCCGGCTGTTTTTGTCCTTCCCACGTGGCTCTCCTTGGGGTGGGGATGGGGCACCCTCATCTTTGCTCAGGGCTTAGCCCTGACACGCCTGGTACAGCTTGGGGGGACCCTGTGCCGTGCTGGGAATCGAACCCGCGCCAGACACAAGCAATGCCAGGGCCTTACCCCCCCGGCCCGTGAATCTTGGGATTCTCCAAGCCGCACTGTCCTGGCGCAGCTGCCCGGCTCTGCCCCTGCTCACAGCCTGGCCCTGGCTGGCCCCTGAGAGCTGCCCACAGGGCTCGGGGAGGTGAGGGAGGGAGCGAGGTGTCTCCCGAGGGGGCCAGCAAGGGAGGCTGAGACGTAGGGGCCATCCCTGTGCTGTGAGGGGTGACCAAGGGAGCTGGTTAGGGGGTCCCTGCAGCGCCAGCTGCTCCAGGTGGCCACCTGCCTGACACGATGCTGAGCCGGTTTGATCCCCGGCACCCCCTCAGCCCATATGTTCTCCCAAGCACTGATTCGGGAGTCTGCCTTGAGCACTGCCAGGCGTGGTCCAGAAACTAACCAACCCCACCCCCGGCTGAGGCAGCCGCCACACACCTGACCACGTTTCCAGGCAACCACCCCTTCCCCCCGACACACACACACACACACACACACACACACACACACACACACTGGCCTGGGTCCAACCTCCATGTCCAGGGTCAGAGACAGCACAGCAGGGAGGGCACTTGCCCTGCACACGGTCATCCATCCCCGGCATCACACATGCACCAAGCCTGTGTACCACCAGGAGCGTGCTCTGCCAGCTGTGACACACACCCACGCACACCTGCACACATACCCATGCACACACACACCCACACCTGCACACAGAGGCACACAAACCCGTAAGCACACATGCATACACCCACACATGCACACCCATGCATGTGCGTACACAGCTGGACACACAGAGACACACACACACACACACACACACACACACACAAAATCAAGTCCCCAGGTGCAGACGACAGGCGGAGTCACACAGGGGAGTTTCCAACACAAGTTTACTATCAACAAGTACCACATCACGGGCAGTGACATCAGAGAACATTCCAGAACAGCCAGGCTGGTCGGGTGACCCCATAGCGGGGCTCCTGTGGTGGCTGTCAAGGCCACGAGGCCAAGAGGCAGGTTGGCCCCATGGAGGTAGCCCTGCAGGTCTGGGAGCACCAGGCTCAGGACAGGCCCTCGGCACGCCGGGCAGTTCACAGCCAGAAGCAGTGCCCGGCTCTGGGCGGGCAGGTCCACGTGTGAAGGAATCGGTCAGTGGGAGGGGCTAAGGCTGCGGCCTGGGGCCCCAGGACCACCCCCCAGGCGGAGGGAAGGCACATTCAGAGGCTGCGGTGGCAGCTGAGCCCAGGGGGCAGGATGCAGCCGCCCTAGAAGAGCCTGGGCAGTGGGCAAGCGGGTACAGCGGCCGTGTGAAACCCAGTCACCCTAGAAGAGCCCGGGCAGCACACGGGCGGGCATGGCGGCCATGTAGCACGCCCAGTCCCCCTAGAAGAGCCCAGGCAGTGGGCACAGTGGCCTTGTGGCACCCAGTTCCCCTAGAAGATGCCGGGCAACAGGCGGGCGGGCACGGCGGCCGTGTAGCGCGCCCAGTCCCGGCCGTACTTGCTGGCACAGCGGTGCTCGTCCCTCAGGCAGCGGTGGGTGAGCAGGATGGTCATGTAGATGATGTAGAAGTAGGGCAGCAGGTGGCCGCCGCCGCACGCCAGGCAGTAGGCCAGGCTGCCCAGCAGGTCGCCCGTGTAGTTGAAGTGGCGCGCCAGGCCCCAGAAGCCGGACACCAGCAGCTTGCTGTGGTGCATCTGCCCGTCGGCCGACGTGTACGTGCACTCGATGGCCCGGGGCTTGCGGCCCCAGATGAGGCAGCGGCCGTCCGTGCGCCGGAACAAGTCCTTCTGGTGGTTGGCCATGCGGAAGGTGTAGTAGCCCAGCAGGCCCAGGGCCAGGATGCCCATGGCGTGCGGGGTGGACAGCTGCACCGGGTGGTACACCAGGTAGAGGCCCTGTGGGGGGGGGGGCTGTGTTAGGCCACGCGTGGCCCCGGGATGAAAGCGGGGGCCACAGGAGCTGTCCGGAGGCTCAGCTGCCCATGGCATGGCTGGCCACCCTGCTCCCCACCAACACAGGCCTTCACTGGTGTGCACACATGGAGTGGACACAGGTCCTCACACACACACGGGGGTGGACTCGGGTCCCCATACACAACAGTTGTGGACATGGGTGCCCCCGCACAGGGCATGAACACGGGTTCCCCCCCCACACACGGGCGTGGACATGGGTTCCCACACACACATGGGTGTCAACACGGGTCTCCCCAGACATGGGCGTGGACATGGGAGCCCACATGACTGTGATGCTTTCTTTCAGCAACATATTGGCCCGGCAGGGGGTGCAGTGGACTGTCCACTCACTGTTCCCAGTGTGATGGCTCAAGCTGTTCCCCCATCCAGAATACCTGAGAGCAGCCGATGGCCACACACAGTGTCCCTGTACGCGGCCCTGCCACCCTGCAGGTGAGGCACCCCCTCCCCGTCACACATACAAAAAGCAAGTCCTCACTCCCAGCCTGAACAATGCCTGACAGAATCCTGTTATTCAGGGTTCACCGGACATATGCACATGCATATACACGTGTGTGTGCATGTGTGGGCATATGTCCACATGCCACTGTACTGGCACTACAGCCAACGTCAAACCTAAGGGGAAAGGAATATTTGCACTGAACAAAGTTTGGACCAGAACATGGATCTGAGACCCACAGGCGGCCCTCCCTGCCCACAGCACCCCCTACTGGTGCGAGTCTGCGAGGGAAGCTGATAGGGAGTGCATAGTGCATACCAGCACCTAGGGGGCTGCAGGTCCCACCACCACAGGGTTCTGAGACCAAGTCCCATGACACCTTGTGGTCACAGCATGCATTACAGCTGTGCTTGGAGCGAGTCCTTGGCAGCAGTGCCACCCTGTGGTCACGGCGTCCATTACAGCCGTGCTTGGAGCAAATCCAGGCTGTAGTGCCACCCTGTGGTCACGGCACGCATTACAGCTGTGATCGGAGCCAGTCCAGGCTGCAGCTCCACACCTTGGCATGAGACTAAGCCCCGTGACACCAGGAGGAAACTGGAGCTAAGTTCAAAGCGCCAAAGAGCACAAATCAGTCTGCAGATGCATGGGAGGTCCAGAACACCTAAGCCCGGGGTGTCGGAGCTCTGGCTCATACATGATCCAAGCACGGCTGCATGCTGTGACCAAGGTGTGGTGCTGCAGCCTAGACTCGCTCTAAGCATGGCTGTACTGTACGCTGTGACCACAGGGTGGCGCTGCGGCCTGAGACGTGCTTCCAGCACAGATGTAATGCATACCCTGACCACAAAGTGGCACTGCAGCTTCAGACTGGCTCTGAGCACTGCTGTAATGCACGCTGTGACCACAGGGTGGCGCTGCGGCTTCTGACTCTCGGAACGGCTGTAATACACGCCTGAACACAGGGTGGCGCTGCAGCCTCAAACTTGCTCCAAGAACACCTGTAACACGCGCCGTGACCACAGGGTGGCGCTGCGGCCCGAGACTCGCTACCAGCACAGATGTAATGCATACCGTGACCACAAAGTGGCGCTGCAGCTTCAGACTGGCTGAGCACAGTTGTAATGCGCGCTGTGACCACAGGGTGGCGCTGCAGTCTGGAGTCATTCCAAGCACAGCTAGCAGAAATGCCTGCCATGACCACAGGGTGGTGCTGCAGCCCCGGTACAGACACATCTACGATTCATTCACACAGCTGTGGGCGCCTCTGCATGGACACTGTACTCATACCGCTGCACCTCCAGGCCCACCTCGTCACATGCAAACACCCTGCACACGCCTCTACCTCACTGCCCCTGCACTGTGCAATTGTGACTCGACCAACCTCGTCCAGGATGCAACTGAAAACCAGGTGGGCTCAGGGGCACTGCCCTGAGCCTGTCCAGGAGGCTTTGGACACCCACAGCAGAGACAGTGCCGTGACCTCTGGCCAGGTTGTGCTCTGCCCACTGCCTGGGGGCTCGGCCAGCTGGCACCAGCCCATCCTCAGCTGCCGCGGGGCCTCCCTGCTAGGCCTGCTGGCCAACAAGCTGCCATGCAGGACGCCTCTTGCTGTCCCCTGGGTACCCAGGGGCTTCCCCCCTTCGTTGCCCATTGGGTGCCCTGGGGTTTCCCCTCTCCTCCCAGACCTGGCCAGGTCTGCGTGTGTCTGCTGTGTGCGGGGTGGGGCCTCTCTGCCCAGCTGCCATCAATCAGGGCCTGGCTCTGGCCTCACCAGCCCTGCCCAGGTACCGGACTTCCACGTGACACTGGAGGTGACCCCGTCCCCCCTGCAGATGACACCTGTCCCCGGCTCTCAACCAGCAGTGGCCTTGGCTGTCCCCGAGGACAGTCAGTCTGCAGGCGGCCACTCCCCCCAGCTCCCTGTGAGACAGCCGGGAAGACCTTTCCAGAAGCTTCTAGTCTGGCCTCAAGGTGCTGCTCTTGGCCTGGCTGCTTTGATCCGCTAGCAGGGCTGGGGGTAGGGGGGCAAAGCCTGTCTCCCGCCAAGCACCCCTCCCACGGTGGGCTGTAGTTCCAGCTGCTTCCGGGGCCCACGGGGTGGGGCGCCCACCTCAGCCAGGGGCAGAGGATGGAGAGGGGGCTGCACGTTCAGACGGGAGTGAAGCCGGGGGTCCCCAACGAGCCCCCAAACAGCCTCACCCCACAGCTTCCCAAGCAACCAGCCGAGACGCTCCCAGCCAGGAGCCCGAGCCCAGAGAAGTGGGGGTGGGGTCCCCACGCCCGGGGCTGTCACCACGGCGACTGTCTCCGCCAGCGTCTCACCTGCAGCGTGTACAGGTACGGCAACCACACGCAGTCGCCCCAGCCCAGGTACCAGCCGAAGTGGTCGTGGCAGATGTCGATGGTCTTCAGGTACCAGGTCTCGTTCCAGAAGAAGTCGAGCACGTAGATGGCCTGTGAGGCCGGAGCACGTGGTCGGTCACCCGGGTGTGTGTGGGGGGTGGCCCCGAGGGTCACTGAGCTCTGGGACATGCCCTGTGGGGTGTTCCTAGGCGCCCCCTAGGGGTGGGCTGGGGCCCCAGCCTCAGATCCCGCAGGTGGACGCATGGGTGGTCCAGGGTGACCCGGAGCAGGGACGCGGCCACCAAGATGGCATAAGGCTTGATCTATGGCTGCCAGGTGCCGGCAGGGCCCGAGGGTGGAGGAGCCCAGTGTGTGTCGCAGACGGGACAGAGTGGACAGAGCCTCTGTCTCCACGGCCACTGAGACCCACGAGTGGGGAGGGGTTTGGGGGAGGAAGTTCCGCATGTCCGGAACCTTCCAGAATCGTCCAGCCCATGTGCCGCTGAGGGGCATGGGGAGGGCCGTGTGCACGCGCCCATCCCTGGGGCAGGTCTGTGCCCCCAGTGGGGGCTCGGGGCCTGGAGGCAGCAGAGCCCCCCCACCAGCTGGCCACGCTACCTGCAGGACGTTGACCAGGACCATGGAGTTGGTCACGTGGCCGTGGAGCTCGTGCTGCTTGGCCGCGAAGGACAGGTTGATGAGGGTCCACGCCACGATCCCAGGCCGGCCATTGAAGAAAAGCTTGAAGTCAAACCACTTCCCAATCCGGGGGTTGAACTCGATGCCCATCATGTAGTTGTAAAAGAAATTGCCGGTGAATTTGCTTTAAAAACAAACAGAAAAAAATACAGGCACTTTGGGGAGGCGTGTGGGGCCGGCGGGCCAGCGGGCAGGGTGCAGCCACCAACAAACACATTAACCCGGGCTTGATCCCTGGCACCCCCAGAAGTGACCCCTGAGCAGAGCCAGGAGGAGGCCCTGCACACCACTGGGCGTGCCCCCCACAACAGCTGCCCTTCAGTAAGGCGTGTGCCACCTATGTGAGCCTGCATGGCCCTATGGACACGGGCAGCTGTGGAGACCCAAGGCCACGGCGTCCAGGTCCCCCCAGCCTCACTGACCTGTGCTCAGTGCTGACATTCTAGGCACGACCCTCACCTCCCCGCCCCACCCCCCCAGGGACCACAGCAACCCCCACACAGTCCTGGTCAGCTGCCCCTTGGGCCCACTCCTGGGGGCACCAAGATGGCCCAAGTAGAGACTCAGACTCGCTGTTGCCCAGACAACGGCCAATGTCCAGCCCGCCAACAGGAGAGAAGCACACGAGGCAACTTTCGCTCAGGGAAATGACAGCCATGAGCCCAGAGGGGCCTCGTCAGGGGCCGGTCCCATGCGGAGGGTGGGACAGGGGTCCCCAGACAGTCTGACAGGCCAATGAGATGCACCTGTGCTCAGAGCGGGGACGCCTAGGTTAAAAGGTCACTGTCACTGTCCTCCCGTTGTTCACTGATTTGCTCAAGCGGGCCCAGTAACATTGTGAGACTTGTTACTGTGTTTGGCATAAATCGAACATGTCACGGGTAGGTAAAGGGTAAACGCCCCCAATGCGTGAATTTCAGGCGAGATTCCAGTAGCTTCCAAGTTCACTGCTCACACCTGCACAGGGAGATTCTAGCAGCTTCCAAGCTCACTGCTCACACTTGCATAGGAGACACTCAACAAACACTTGGTGATAGCGGGATGGGCAGACGGACGGGGGTGGGTGCGAGGGTGGGTCGATGTTCTAGGAACTGGGTAGTTGAGTGGGTGAGGGACTGGATGAGGATGGACAGCACAGGCGGAGGAGCAGAGTGAGAGGGTGCGTGAGAGTGTGGATGGGTGCGGGGAGACTGGGCGACCAGGGCATCGACGGATGGGCAGGTGAGGATGGGTGTGGTACTGGGTGGATGGACGGGTGGTGGGTGAACAAGTGGGTGATGATGGGTAGGGAATGGATGGATGGATGGATGGATGGGTGGATGGGTGGGTGGATGGGTGGGTGGATGGGTGGATGGATGGGTGGATGGGTGGGTGGATGGATGGGTGGATGGATGGGTGAATGGGTGGGTGGATGGGTGGGCAGATGGGTGGATGGATGGGTGGATGGATGGGTGGATGGATGGGTGGATGGATGGGTGAATGGGTGGGTGGGTGGGTGGATGGATGGATGAATGGACAGATGGATGGATGGATGGTGGATGGATGGATGGGTGGATGGGTGGATGGGTGGGTGGGTGGGTGGATGGATGGATGAGCGGATGGATGGATGAATGGACAGATGGATGGATGGATGGTGGATGGATGGGTGGGTGGGTAGTGGATGGGTGATGGCTGACCAGTGGCCGGCCGGGTAAGTGCTGACACTAACCCACTGAGTACACGGGAATGGGTTCCCCGCAGTTGGTACCTCCTAGGGAAGCTGTCACATCAGAGCCACTGAGTAAACAATACTGAGCAGGACTGCCTGGCCCCAGCTGCCCCAGAGGAAGAGTGGACGGGTCACCTCTGTCCCCTGAGAATCTGCTGCCTGCCGAGGGACTGGCAGAGAGGCCTGGGGCCCACAGGAAGGGCATTCTGGGCCGCTGAGCCCGCCAGCGGGGCACCTACCAGTCTTTGGCGTTGGTCGGGAAGCAGTAGCCCTTGACCATGGCGAAGGTGGACACGGCGTAGCCCAGGAAGTTGGCGCACCAGAGCAGCGGGATCCAGTTGTCGAAGATGATGGTGGGGGGGAACCAGTGCAGGAGGTGGGCGTTGGCGACCCACAGGGCGTGGGTGATGAGCCAGGCCTGCAGCCCGTTGATCTGGTACTTATTCACCACCCCTGCAGGTAACAGACGGAGATGTGCCACCCACCCGCGGGCACCCGCGAAGCCCGCCTAACCCCTAGGGCTCTGCTGGCTCCGGGAGACCTTCCTTCAGCTCCTCCATCTCTGCCGCAGCCCTCCCGGGGGCTCTGGTCACTACGGGGAGGGCAGGAACACGGCACCCCACGGGGGGTCGCTGGGGCCCTGTGGGACAGCTGGGCACCCCCTTACTGAAGGGGCTTTGCACTTGGTGTCCGGAACCCTCAGGGGGGCCCAGAGACTGTGACCCCGAGTTCCTGGGTCAGCTGGGAGGGCCCCCGGCAGCTTACCCGCAGGGGTGATGGCCCCCTCCTGGACACCTCCCACGTAGCCGGGCAGCAGCTTGTGGAGGACGTCGGGCAGTGCCATGTACAGCAGCACCTGCAGGCAAAGCGCGATGGGACCCCACCCCGCCCCGCCCCGCCCCGTGGGGGACCCCCAGTGCCGCCTGCATGCGAGGGCCAGCACGTCCACGCAGCTGCTAGTGTCCCCCAGGGCGGCTTTATTCTCCGGGGCTGTCACGTCCCCCCTCCCCGCCCAGCAGGACGCCCCCTGCGGCCCCCTGACCTGGAAGGCCACCCAGGCCGCGTAGAGCTGGGCCGCCCCGCGGGTCGGGCCGGGCGTGCGGGCCCAGATGTCGGACAGGCGCGTGCGGCCTGAGGCCACGTCCATCACGGGCGCGGTGAGCGAGCACTGGAACTGGTCGCAGGCCATGATGAAGTAGTAGACAATGAAGGGTGCACACAGCAGCAGGAAGAGGACGCTGGCCAGCGAGAAGCAGTCCACCTCCCTGCGGGACGCCGGCGAGGGGGCCTCAGTGTCCAGGGTGGGCGGCAGCCGGCTGCGGGCAGCCCCCGGGTCCCCGCAACGCCCCAGGCCCCCACCGGCCGCCCCCGGGCCCAGCCCCACTCACCAGGCCCGGCCCCACTGGCCCTGCGAGCCGGCCCCGTTGGGCATCCCTTTGCTTCTGGCGCCGTTGGGCTGAGGTTTGGCAGCCATTGGGCCTGCAGGAGGGAGGGATGGAGGGACGGGTCAGGGCACACACCCCTGCCCAAAGCACCCCTTCCCGGGCGCTGCTGGCACAGCCTCACGTAGGCACCGACCCCCAACTTCTTTCCGGAACCTTCTCCCTGGACCAACATAGCTTGTTGGAACCTTCTCTAGCTTGTCCGAGAAGTCTTCTCCTACAATTCCTCCTCCTGGCACCTTCCACCAACTCCTAGAACCAGCTCTTCTCGCCTTCTAGAACCTTCTCTTGCCCCCTAGAACCTTCTCCTACTCTCTGGTAGAATTTCTCTTACCTCCTCCCGGACTCTGCTCTCTTCCTTCGCCTTGGAAACGATTACTGCTTCCTTGAGAGCCTTCTCTTACCTGGGACCGTCTTCCTCCTCCTGGAATCTTCTCTCCCTTCCTCTAGAACCCCCACCTCCTCCTCCTAGCACCGTCTATTACTCCTTCTACCTCATTCGGGACAGCAGATTCCAGACGGGAAACCACCTTGGATGTGAACACCTGCAAGGGCCACCCCTCCCCCCCCAGCCCCCGGCCCTGCCGGCACGAAGTGCCCACCCGCTCACTGTCCAGCACACAGCAGCTCCCCCAGGCCCCGAGAATAAACCCCAGCCTGCCGGCTGCCCGTGTGGGGACGGCGGTGGGACCAGCTCACCTGCGATGTCCAGGCACTCGGAGCAGAGTGGGTGTCCCCTCAGCCCGGCGGGTGGAGGTGCTGGTCTCCTGCGTTTCAGCTCAGGGCTGGTCCTGCAGGGTGGGAAGTGGCAGGTGCCAGGGCACAGGGAGGGCCCCGCTGCTGTCTGCTGAGGTACTTGTTATTATCACTATTCTGGGGGCCCCAAGGATGTTGGGGACCTGCAGTGCTGGGGATGGAGCCGGGATCATCGTGTGCCAGGCCCACGCCTTGAGCCCTGCACTGCCTTCCCGCCCATAGGGGGCCCCATTCAGGCCCACTGGTCACAGGAACCCTAAGAGGCACAACTCTGCCCACCCTGGACCCCTCCCCACGGCTGTCTGCCTGCACACCAGGCTAGTTCGTATCAGTGGGGGACGCAGGATGGAGGGCTTCCTGGAGGTGCCTCTGCGGACATAAGTGTCCACATCGGTTTTGAGCACTGAGCGAAAGCTGCTTCCTCGGACCCTTGCTCCGGGCAGACACATCGGGCACCCTCAGTCTGCAGAGCCCCGAGCCCTGTAGGAACCAGCAGGACGCTGAGGGCTGGGGGCAGGGCCAGCGAGAGCCCTGGGCCTGCTCCTGGGACGGATGACTGGATCTGAGGGGCGTCTGGTGCCAGGACCCTGTGTGGGACGAGCCCCTCCCCTGGGTGCCTGCGGGCAGCTCCTCAAGGCCCTGCCCACGGTGTGCCAGCTCAGTGCCAGTTCAGTGAAGGGTCCTGCTCCGGTGGGCAGCGCCTGGGCCCGGTCTGGGGTATCCTCTGCGGCCACAGCAGGATGGGCAGGCAGGAGCCAGGCCATGCCAGGGTCAGGCAAAGCCAGGGTCACACCCCGCCCCCATCAGCCCTCCCAGGGTCAGTTCCCCCCAGGGTCAGCCCCGCCAGCAGCCTGTCCTGGTCCCCTCCGTGTGAGTGCAAGCAGCTGTGACCCAGACCACCCAGACCCTTGTCCTCTGTGGGTCCCGAGTGAGCTCCAGGGCCCGGCCTGGCCTCGGGCAGGGGGTGAGGGGGGTGGCGGTGCCGTAGGGGCATCTGAGCGCCGCTGGGGGCTGATGGCAGTGGGGACAGGGTCTCGGCTCCCAGCGGAGTGGGGGGATGCTGGACTTCCTACAGCTCCGTGACCCGTCCCCGGGTCCCCAGACCCCAGCCCCCCAGCTTCCCTGGCCCTGGCTCGGGCGGGCTGACCAGGGGGCCGTTCTGGGGCCTCGGGAAACGGGCCGGGCCCTGGGCAGAAGGCTGCGCTGCCCCCTCCCGCTGCCCCCCGCATGACTCCCGGCGACCCCAGGGACCGGCCCGGGCACCCAGAAGTTGTGCCCCGGGGCGCGGGCCTATCTGCAGCCGGATTTAACGAGGTTCATTATCCAACACACGCCCCCTCCTGCTCCCCGGCCGCGGCCCCAGCAGCCTCTTATCGGCGGCACCTGCACCTGCCCGCTGCCCGCTGCCCGGCGGAGGGGACGCGCCCGCGTGCAGGTGCCGCCGCCCCCGCCCTCGGGTTTCTCGGCCCCGCCTGCCGGCCCGGTACCGGCCCGGTACCGGCCCGGGTGCTCCGGGGCCCCCGCGCTCAGGAAGAGCAGGTCCCGGCTGCTCCCCGGGGCACGACTCGGGTCCCCAGGGTGCCACCCACGCCACTTCCGACCGACCCGCAGCAGGTCGGCGCGCCCTGCCCAGGACGGGGGCGGGCTGCGGCCCCTCCAGGTCAGCTCACGCTCCCCGATGCCCCCCCGGTGCGGACGATCCACCTGCAGACACAGTGCCCAGGTGGGCAGGCCCTGGGCAGCCCCGACCCTCTGCGCGCGCCGGGCTGGGGCGTGCACGCTGGGGGCGCTTCAAGCTCCCCTCCCGTCGGGTGAGGGGTCTGGGACCCCTTGGTCCCGCCGGGCCCCGGGAAGTGTCCGCTGCTCGGCCTTCCTGGCCCCCCTCCCCTCATTTCTTCCACCAGAAAATCCTCAGACGGAAGAAAAAAACCCGAAAAAGGCAACGTGGGTTTTTCTACGGGCGGGGGCAGGGCTGGAGGGGGGGCGCCACCCCGCCAAACCTGCAGCTTAACAGGCCCACCGAGGACCCCGCCAGCTCCTGCAACTGGAATCTGCACCCGTGGGTGCCGGGGACGACCAGGGAGCGAGCACGCCGCCCCCCACCCCATCCCGCCCCCGGGCTGGGCAAGGAGACCCCCGGTCCTGGGCAGGGCGCGCCGAACCCCTCTCCGGGCACAAGCCCCCCGCGGCTGCCTCCTACACGTCCGCCCCTCGCCCCTGCCCCGCCGCAGCCCCCTAAGTCCCCAGCCCCCGGCCCCAGTCCTCGCCCGCCCGCGCGCATCCCCGCGCCCGCTCACCTGCCCGCGGCTCCGCTTCCAAACCCGGCTCTGGGGCCCCGCGGGCCGGCCCGGCCCCGCCCCGTGACGTAAGCGGCGGCCGGCCAATGGCAGCCGAGCTCCGCGCGGCCGGCGTCTCCGCGCGCCGCGATTGGCCCGGGCGCCTCGCCCCGCCCCTGAGCCGAGTCTGGCCACCGCGCGGGCCAGTAGGCGGCGGCGACGTGCGAGACGGACAGGCGGGCCCCGCCCCTCGGAGGCCGGTGGGCGGGGCGGCGCGGGGCGCGGCCCGGAAGGCGGGCGGGCGGCCGGCGGCGCGTGCGGGTGCCTCGGACCCGGGCCGCGCTGGGCAGAGGGCGGGCTCGGCCAGGGCCAGCCCAGCGGTGCCCTCTGTGCCCGGCTTGAGCTTTGCACGGACCCGCTGACCTCCCGGTCCCGCCAAGCCAGGCACAGACGCCAAAATTCTGCGCTTAGCCGAGCAATCAATTGATTAGGAAATGGGACTATCGGCAGCTCTGGCTGGGCAAATTGCAGGACCCCGATGTTGGAGAACACTGGGTCGTCCTCGCTGGGTTGATGGGTAACAACCCAGAGTTATGCAACGCTCGGACACTAAAAAGAACCACGTCCTTATTCTTAATTATTTATTTACTTTTCGCTCTTTAAAATTGAATCACTGTGGGATTAGACCCTTCCAAAGCTGTTCGTGATCAGGTGCCAGTCACACGTGTTCCAAGTCCTGTCCCTCCACCAGTGTACATTTCCCAGCACCAGTGTCCCCAGGTTCCCTCCCATCACCCCAACCCTCCACCCCACGTAGCACTGCACTGTCCTAACCATTGTTCATCAATTTGTTCCAGCGGGCCCAGTAACCTCTCCATCGTGAGATTTGTTGTTACTGTGTTTGGCATATGGAATACGTCACGGGGAGCTTGCCAGGCTTTGCCGTGCGGGCGAGATACTCTCGGTAGCTTGCCGGGCTCCCCGAGAGGGGTGGAGGAATTGAAACACCCTACCCGCTGTGCTATGGCTCCAGCCCCCCATACAGAGTTTAAACGGTCACGATCACGACCATCCTGTTATTCATCGATTGCCTCGACCAGACCCCAGTAATGTCTCCTTCGTCCTAGCCCTGAGATTTTTTTTTAAAGTGCCATATTCAAGGCTCTTTCAGAGTTAGGAGAACGAGACCCATCATTGTTACTGGTATTTGGCATATTTGGTGCGCCACGGGGAGTTTGCCAGACTCTGCCGTGTGGGCAGGTTGCATTCGGTAGCCAGAGTTTAAACACTTAAATAAAAATAGGCCTATTAGTAGGACAACAGGTGAACAGTCCATTGATTAACATAGACACCAAGAGAAAAAAAAAAAGGGAAACCAAAACTAAAACAGTTAATAGTAGAACAAACATCAAAACAGTAGACAACAATTAAATGCTTGATTAATGTAAGGACCAAAAATAAGCAATAGCTCCGTACTTCCACTGGCACCCCCACCCCGCCTCCCCATCGTGGGTCCTGTTTTTCTGCCAGGTAAGCACACACCCTGCTTTTCTGTCATGAGAGCATGCATCTATCTTGTCAAAGGAGCTCACTTTCTGGGCACCGGGGTCAAAAGCGTTGCCTCTCTCCAGGGACTGGGGTTCATTGGTCGGTGGTGGGAGGGGAGGAGGCCCAGGAACCTGCAGTGACCCCTTAGGTGGCGTCTAATGATGGAGGAGCCTCAGAGGAGCCAAGTCATATGCTTCTGTGGCCGTCAAACCCTGGCATGGCCTTGGAGAGGTGGCCCAGACACAGGTGTCCCCGCAGGGCAGGCAGCTGAAGATGTACAGACTGACATCCTGCTGCCAGCCAGGACCAAGACCTTCCTGGCAGAGGGGCCCAGGCAACACATGGTGTCTGTATGTACCGTCACAGATATATTCATTTTTCCTGCAGTTTTTCATTTTCGAATAATCTCAAGATCCACAACATTCAGATACCAAGATTCAGTGCTCGCCAGCAGCCTGCCACTGTTCTCTGTTTAATCCCTCCCTTCTCATTTCCCTCAGCTGTGGAGGATACGGTCCTCCTAAACATTTAAATACTGTCTCCTGAAAAGAGGAACATTCCCCAAGTTACCACAGGGAAGCGTGACCCTGGATGCATTAGTCATTCAATATATTGTCCTTCTTCAGGCCCCTCCAAGTGTTTCCCAATGTCCCCAGGAGAAAATGAGAGATTGGAGCCATAGCACCGCAAGCATGGTGCCTGCCTTGCATGCAGCTGACCTGGGTTCGATCCCTGGTACTCCACGTGTGCCCCTTGCACCCCACCAGGAGTGATTCCTGAGTGCAGAGCCAGGAGGAAGCCCTGAGCCCTGCTGGGTGTGGCCCCCAAATCCAAACCAAATAATATCAGTAGAATGCAGGGAATGGTAGCACTATAGCGCTGCACTGTCCTCCCGTTGTTCATCGATTTGCTCGAGCGGGCCCAGTAACGTCTCCATTGTGAGACTTGTTGTTACTGTGTTTGGCATATCGAATGCGTCACGGGGAGCTTGCCAAGCTCTGCCGTGCAGGCGAGATACTCTCAGTAACTTGCCGGCCTCTCCGAGAGGGGTGGAGGAATCAAACCCAGGTCGGCCACGTGCAAGGGCAAACGCCCTACCCGCTGTGCTATCGCTCCAGCCCAGCAGAGAATGGTACGACAGGCAAAGCCCTTGCCTTGCATGCAGTTAACCTCAATTCAATTCCTGGCACCCAATACTGTCCCTGAGCCCT